GTACTCGAAATTACATAACAGAAGTTGATGCTGCAGCTGCAGCTGCTGCTGCTGCTGCATCTTCTGCTGTTGCTGCTGGTGGCTGCATCTAATTATGCGAATTCATTTAAGCGCTCAGTTTTTTGCACACAAATTAGGTCAGATTTAACATATTCATTAGAAGTCTACGCCGGCGGTGGGACGGTGGGCAGTGGGCTGGGTTTGGCTCAGGGAGGGAGGCAAGCGTACGGGCCGTGAATATGGTGCCAAGGGGCAGCAGCAGAATTTTTGCAACGCAACTCAAAGGAAGCTGCAACAGCAGCTGAACTCTGAAACGCTTTTAATGGTGATTACAAGTGCCACACACACGCAGGCACACACACACACACATATACAATGGCAAAAAATTATTAGAAAATTGCATTCGACGACGGCGACGACGACCTCGTTTTGGCTGCTTCGCAGTTGCCCTCGCCACGATAAGCACGATGAAATATATATATATATATATATATGTGTGTGTGTGTATATATAGCTTGTATATAGTCGAGGCAAAGGCAGTGGATGGCTCGAGCAATGTGGTGCCAGGGCAGTGGCAATCGCTGGGCAGACAGCAAAGCGCAGCAGGCGAAGCAATTTGAAAGAATTTCAAAATTCTGATAACAGCAAACGAAGGCGTCAAATGTCTCAATAGACAAACTGACACTCGAGCACGCAAGCGACGGCAACTATGTATGTACAGATGTATGTACACATGTATGTATGTACGTACAGATATGTATGCTACGTACTTATGTAGTACATTCAATGAAGCATGGAACGAGCAAGCCATCAAGTTGTTGCTGCTGCTGCTGCTGCTGCTGCTGCTGCTCTTCTATGATGAGCACTTCAATTACACAAGCACGCAAGCGGCGGCGCTGCCATCGTTTAATGGAATTAGTACAATGACAATTGGCCAAAGCTCGAAGACGGGCGGCGACAACGAAGACAACGTCGAGGCAATAGAAATAAATTGAATAAACGCGCTGCACAGCAGCAACAGCCACAGCAGCAGCAACATCTACAGCAACAGCAGCAGCAGCAGCAGAAAAGATGAATACGCAGAAGAAGCTGGGAAAAACGAGGTCGACGCAGCTGATAATTTTGGGCAGATAGCATGAAACACGCAGCTGAGACAGTGATCCACAACTGGAGATCATCAGCAGTCATCAGCGACAGGAACAGTAGCAGCAGCAGCAGCAGCAGCAGCAGTCGAGCCCAGTCCCAGTCGCAGTCGCAGTCACAATTCATCGGGCCATGCCCATATTCCAGTTAATAGAAACAACAAAGGCCCGTGTCGATGACAATTAGCGATTGGGCAACGCCGCTTTTTGACCCAACGGCTCGACTTTGGGGGCGGCCGCACCTTCAACTATTGACGACTGTTTGGTAGAGCAGGCAAAAATATGTAGAGCATGCAGCGTTGCCATAAATTAAATTTAACACCAGATCGGCTGGCAACGATAGCAGCCGCCGCAGCCGCCGCAGCAGCAGAAGCAGCGCTTCCTCACCATGGCGACACATTTCTAATGGCAAGTGAAGCTCACCGAAACACAAAACAACAATCAACAATGCGAAACTAAACGCTTCACTGCATCTATCTGCTCATAGTGTACACTATCCAGCAGGCAACCAGTCATCCAGCCAGCCAGCCAGCCAGCCAGCCAACCCATCTATCTACCTATGTATCTGTCTATCTATCTATCTAGCTCGCTGCTTACCTACCCAATACCCAATCCCAAAAACATATAATCCAAAGCTGGCAGCTTTAATTAAATGTTCGTCTCGGCTCTAGAGATGAGAACATTAAAAGCTTATTTCGCAATCAGTACGGCAGACAATGATTCATTTGTTCATTTCGCCAGGTGAAACAATGCAAAAATGCAACAGTAAAAATAGAGAGCACAAAAAGTGTCTGTATGTAATGGGTGGGAATATGCATCTAAAATTAAAAATACATCAATATGTTTGTGCATCAACATGTAGTTGTTATCCAATTTCTAAATAGTCTCAGAGTTTTCCACATTCCACCCATTTTTCACGCATTTCCGTGAATGCTTGCATATATTTGCAAAATTTCTAAGAACATTAACTTATTTATTTGAAAACTAATAACAAATGTAAGGTTAACATGCAGTTTAAAGTACTCGGAGCGTTTTGTTTTCCACTCAATTTTCACCCAATATTTTAATCACAGCAATTTGTTTCAATATCCGATCTCTGCATGTTAACTTCTTTTTAAGATAAGCGAAATATTATTGAAATACTTCTGATTTTAATTGTTCATAAAACGTAAATAAATAATATATAAACTTACAGTGGATAACCTTGTACAATATCTATTATTGAGGCTCTTGAAAGACAGTAGCCAGTCGGGGAAGTAGTTAGTCTTTCTGTCACTCTGTCATTCTGTCAGGCAATCATTCAGTCAGCCAGCCACCAAGTGGCGTTGTTTTGCGTCCAAGGAAAGTCCATCAAAAGTGCCCCCCAATCGACGTATCGTTTTGCGCTAAACGCGTGAAAAATAACAAATAAATAAATGAAAAGAAATAACAACAAAGAGCGAAACTCAAATGCACTAACGAAGCTTTAAATAAAAGCTACAAATTGAGATTTAAAGAACATTTTAGGTGACTTGGGATTCTGATAAAATCTAGCTATAAAAATATTTATTTATCTAAGAAATTGTGCCCTATTTTGCTCCAGTTAATGCCAAATATCTTAAGCCTGAATTGAATTATAGCACCAAAATATGTATCTGCAAATAAGTCAATATATTTACAGCTTCATCTTAGCTTGAACTAGGCCAACCATTCTCAGATAGTAACAAATAACTCTGGTGCCAACATAGAGTATTTCACTGTGTGCCTAGACATATACATACATACATATATATGTACATATATTTGTAAAATCCCTGCCTCTGACTCCGTCATAGATAGCATCGTAATGTATCGCTTTGCGCTTTGAATGACGCGTATCATTGGCAATTAAATTAAACATATACACAGTCATAAATACAAACAACAAACTCACACACACACAATCACACATCGAGATACATTTTACAATGTCAAGCGCTGCGCACTACATAAGTATCTACAACCGCTGTGCGTATCTATAAGTGTGCGCTCGCCTCTGTGTATCTGTATCTGTATCTGTATCTGTATCTGTATCTGTATCTGTATCTGTATCTGCAGCTGTATACATGCATGCATGTATGTAGCTATGTGTAGAAGTCGTCGAGTGATTTTTCGCCAGTGACATTTTAATTGCTGTTATGTTTTATTGATATTCAAAAACTACAATTGCTAATTGTTTTATTGTTAATTTTTTTTTAAATGCTATTTACTTGCCTTCTGAGTGGCAGCTTAATAGCCAATTTTAAATACCATCTCACACAATTAGCTCGATTATGGCCACTTCATTAGTGGCCAGTTGTAAATGTTATTTAATAATATTATTTAATATGCATCTAAAATAGCAGCAATTGCAAACAACTCACAGCTAGAATGTTTATAACACAATATAGTTGCATAAATAAAAACAATACATTTTATTGCAATCATAAATAACTATTTGGTTTATAAACTTTAAAAGGATGGGGCGTCCTCTTGTTATTTATTTACCTTGCTGTTATTTTTGACATTTCAGCTCATTTTATTATTGAGTAAAAATATGAGTGGAGATTCTCTAAGCGTAAGTTATTTAATGAAGTTTAAGTCGTCGAGTGCATAACAAATTTGGCCACGTTAAATTCTGGTGGTTCTTATTTGCCAAGCAACCTTAGCTAATTATCTAAACGTACGTTCATGTTTCATGGACAGAAGGTTCTGATCATTTCTTTGAACAAAGCATTGCGAAGTGCACTTGTTAAATAAGTTCCGGGGCGGACTGGCAATATATATCTTTGTCTTGAGTCTTCGTACCATTGTAATTGACACGGCTCTCGTTTATGAGCTACATTTTAAATAACAAAAATCTCAATTACATAGTTTATCATTGAATTTAAATGGACTCGCAGCTGCTGCTGGTAAACACTTGAACTGTCAACGCCAACTACCAGCTGGTGGACAGCATGGAAGGAGGGGCAGACGGACGGCCATCAGCTGAGACTATTTTTTTCTTCGGGCGCTCCACTTTGGACAGTTGCCGCCGTTGTTTGTCGCTGACGGAACGTGCACAACAACTACAAAAAAAAAATGGACGTCATCAGCTTAATGGTTATGGCATTTCCGCACCTGACGTCCCCAATGGCCGACAACACCACCGCCAAGAGCAGCAGCAGCAGCGGCAGCAGCAGCAGCAGCGACAGCAGCGGCAGCAACAAAATGGTCTGTCCATCTGTCTATCAGTCGGTGCGACTCTTCTTCGTCTGAAGTGCGTGCTTGAGTTTGGTTTTTTGCCTTTGCTTTGCCATACTCATACTTCAGCTGCTGCTTCTTTGCCTTGCCTTCGCCATCTACTTTGGTCTCTTGCATTTTGCGTTACGTTCTTTCATTTGTGCTTGTGCAATACACTCACACGCACACACACACACACATATATATACGCATACACACGCATACATATAGAACGTAATACGTAATTTCTATGACACTTGTCCGTGCTGCCACTTGTCTTCCACTTTATGTGGTCGACGCCACAGTCGCTGCCGCTGCCGCTGCCGCTGCCACGCCGCTGGCGCCGCCCTCATTGACTGGTAACTAACCAAACACCTCAGCCACCGTTTGCGTTACGCCCCTACGCCCCCTTTACCGCACGAACACGCCGAAAAAAAAATAAAAGACAAACAGCTTGTAGAGCTTTTTATCAGCTTAACGAAACTTCTACGCTCTTGCGATGCATAGCGCAATAGATCAAAAAAAAAATGTTAGCTGTTTACACTTGCAAAAATAATTTTGCAAAAATTGTTGTCCTTTTATGAACTTTCAAAATACTGTGTTATGTAATTTTAGAGAGAAAAAGAAGCCGAATAATACCTGATAGTATTCCCATGAGCTCAAGCCCGCATCGAAATGGATGACTTTTTGTGACGCCTTTCCAAACTTAAAGTGTATTCAATATATGGAGAGACAGACACTTCAATTGATTATTGTCCGCAGTTTGTTGTTGTTGTTGCTGCTACTTTTGTGCAAATGATTTACATTTTGTGCTTCACATAGTTGTTCTTGTTATTCCGCTCCTTGTCTTCTGCTTATTCTTCTTCTTGTACTTCTTGTTCTGCCTCTTTAGCTGGCTTTGGTTCTCGCCAAACCTGAGCGCGCAGCTTGGCTTTTGTTGTCATTTGCACTTTTGATTTCATTTGAAGTTTTTCGTTTTCGCTTTTGCTTTGCTGTTGTTGTTGTTGTTGGTTTCGCTGCGGCTCATTTGTTGTTTTTTTTTTTCACTTTTGTTTGACTTGTCGCTGCTGCTGTGCATTCTGCGAGTTACTCATTTGGTTCTGTCCAAAATAATAAAGAATACATAAGAGAAGGTAGCATCAGTTATTGCTAATCATCTGAGTGTGGGTTAGGGGCAGAGCGGCCCGCGTGCTTGGCCTTTTGTGTCGGGGGGCACACACAATTCGCAGCCCACACAAAGACATCGCTGCCGCTGCTGCTGCTGATGATGATGAAGATGATGATGATGATGATGATCATCCAGCCATAATTGTTGGCGGTTCTCTATCTGTCGCGTTAGCTTTTTCTCTCTCTCTCGCTCTCTCTTTCTGATTCTAAGACTATTCAGAGGCACGTCAAAACCGCACACTCAGATTAATTACGGCAACTGCTTTGGGTCGGACTTGGATCTGCCGGGAAGGTCGCCATCCAAGTCGCCATGAAGTGCATTTCATTTATTTTATAAATTATCGCCACGAATTGTTCATGTGAAACGGCAGCAAGTTTGCGAGCTTTTCCAGCGGCAGCCCAGGGGGCGGCTACAGATCGGACAATAACAACTGTATGAGACAATATTGTAGCTCTGCGCAGCGCAACAGCGCTACCCCCCGCCACCCTCAGTCCACCATCCACCGCAACGGCTAGTCAGCACCAAGCCGCCCACATTTAAGTCCGCCATCTTTTTGCTTCCGCCGTTTGCCTCGTGCATCTTAATTACTTTTGTTTTTTCCCTACGCCTCTCTCACTTCTTCTCTCTCTCTCTCTCTCTATCTTCTGCTCTCACTCGCGCTGTCCGTGTGTGCGAGTGCTGAAAATTTCCAGAGCCCAACGAAATTCAATGAAAAATACTTATTCAAATAGCAGCAACTACTGAGGCAGCAAAGAAGGCTGTAAACGAGCTAACACAAGCAGCAGATACAGCAACAACAACAACAACAACAACAACAATCTCACAGATACATTTGTGTTGGTTTTTGTCGAACGCTTCGCTGGCTGCTTTGCACTTGAGATTCTTATCGTTGGCTGGCCCAAGTTGATTTTGATCTTTACAATGCATTATGCAAACAGAGAGTGCGATAGATGAAACAGAAGAATAAGAGAGAGAGAGAGAGAGAGACAGAGAGCGCGCTCACATGCTCGCTCACATTCTTCGTCTCCCTCTCTCTTTCTCACTCTCTTACGAATATGCATAGTTTCGATAGCATTTAACTTTCATAGTCTGGCAATTTGTTGTATTCGCCGTTTGATGATTGTTTCTCAAGAACAGTTCTATTTGAGTTTCGCCCGCTAGGGGAAAAGCCAAAGCCGCAACAGCATTGAGATTTGGCCACATAAATCGTTCGCTGTAAGAAGTCCAACTTGGGAGTCTGAAGTGCACAGTGCTTAAGTCTCATTAGAGATACTTTAGTGTCAAGTCTGTTCGACTCCAGAGTCCGAGTACGAGCACGAGTGCGAGTGCGAGTGCGAAAGCGAGTCGGAATTGTGGCCTGACCTCGCTTTGACTTCGGTTTTATAAAAGACGCAGATTAGTAATGCCCTCAAGAGTCCACATCTAAATGTGTATCTGTGTGTGCACGCGTGTATCCGTGTGTGTGTGCTGTAATGTGTGTGTAAGTAGCAGCACAAAAGTGTCAGCTTTGAGATTTAAGAAAGCAGCTCAGCGCAAAGAGGCGCAAGAAAAAGCCAGCGTTAAATTAGTGGCAATTGTGCGCGACATGAAGTAGCCCAGCAGCCACAGTGTGGAGAGTGCCACACACACACACACACACACACACACACACACACACACACTGTCACACACTCATTACTATTTATTTAGTTGGCTACGAATACATGTGTATCTGCAGCTGTAAGTGCGAGTAAGCGAGCAGGAATTGTGTAACTGTAACATCAAGTGGCCGCCATTGTAAATGGCCAGCGATTTGTGTGGCCAAAAGGAAGTTGCACCATTCAGTGGCACAGTTGTAACACACATGTGCCAGACATTTGTGCTGTGCTGGGCGTCTCATAAGCACTCATGCGACATTTGGCAACCCACTAACTAGCTGGAACAGCTCTCACAATAACATGGCCCGAATATGTGGATCAATAGCGATAAATGACATTTCGTATAGGTCGTAGTTGACAATTTATATCTATGAAGAGCGCAGTTCACTTACCGAATGCTTAACGCATTAGAAGAGCCATTTCCGCCTCCAAAATCCACAATATTAATCCATAATCGCATAAAAAGCCAAGACGAGTCGGTAAAGTACAGTCTGGGCAAACTAAATATCCTGATACAGTCTTGTGTATTAGATATCTATTATAAAATAAAATAAAATATATTTTAATATATATATAAAAGTATAAAATCTAATGATTAAATTATATATTTATTAAAAAAAAAAAACAAATAAAGATATAAAACATTATAATGTTTAGACAAACTATCCTTCTGAGGCAATCTTTTTTTCAAATATATTCATTTGGTAAAGCTTCATCGAACTACTGAATATTTTTATTCAGCAAAAAATTAAAGAGATTCTGTATAAACTATACAAGGATCTTTTTTTTTATATCGATTGGAAATGGAATCTTATCAGAAAACAAAAGTATATATATCCGATTTTAAAAGGTACATGTACTTTTAAGAACTCTAGCTCAAGGATTTCTATGTCGATATTTGCTTGGATTGCTTGGAAACGACGAAAGCTATCGATTAACGGAGACACACTCGTACTAAGCGGGCACTAGAAGAAACTACGTTTGGAAAGGTCATGCTTTCTAGATCTCCAGCTCTTATTGCCGCGACTATTGATGCTGACCAAGAAAATGTAGACTTAATAGGGTCAAAGGTGCTTCCTTCTGTCTGCAACATTCATTTGCACAAAACCATCCCACCACCCTTTTTATCCCTGCTCAATGGATTCTTGATATTAAAATCCGTCGAGCAATAATAAAAAACGCAAACAAGTGTTGCCAATATATCTTCCATACTCCCTTGGTTACCTAATCTAGCCACATATGAGAGAATATCGCCTTACATCTAAGTTTAGCCATAAATGCAGCTACTCCGAGTAGCAGCAGCTGAAGAGATGCTGCCCCTGCCGCAGGCTGTGGGGGTTCTGTGTTCTTGTTGTTATCATCACACCAGGTGCTCGTGATAGACAAGGTTCGGCTGTGTGGACCACAGACATAACTCGTGTACAAATAAATTTATGGGTAATAGCAGACAGCCCTTTTCTTATGGACCTAAAGCCCGTGCAAGAGTGCCAAATGGCTGATATCTACCTTTTTGTACCCTGCATCCGTTGAAAATGTGTAAAGGGGGTATAATGGTTTCTTGCAAACGTATGTAACAGGCAAAAGAAGGCAACTCCAACAACATAAATACTCGATCAGAATAACTGAGTCGATCCTTACCTTCTTTGTTTTCTCAAAAATGTAAATAAAATGAGAGAGTGAACCAAATGGAAGTGGAAGCAACTTGTGACTGTGTGTGATTTTTTGTATATATACAAAAAGACTCTTTGAAGGTGTTAAACGGCAGCTCGACATTGAGTTAAGGGTATCTCCCTTTCGCCCAACTGGATACCTTTTTACTTGTTTTTTTTTTTTTTTTGGGCTTTGGTGGTTTAGTGGCTTGATAAGCCGTTGGTCTGTTCCCGTTTCGTTTGCTTGGCGTGTAGTCACTCTTATCGCAGAGCAGCCTCACAGATACACAATGCAAATATTGGTATCAAATTGTAGCGCCTTGGCTAAGACAGAAACAGTTTGCAGAGCTAATAGACGTCGGTCGCGCCGTTTATGAGACTGTCTGAAAAGTGTGCTGAGTATGTGTAGGGTGTGTTTCTGCGTGTGTGCGCGCTGAAGAATGCCTTTTTGCATGCCCCTCGCCATTTGGTGGCTCTCGTCTGCTGACCCAAAAAAAAAAAAAAAAAAGTAAAAAAAACCGAAAAGCAGACAAATTAAACAAACGTTGGACCGACATGAAACGAGTCAGCAAGTCAGCCAGCGCCTTGAAGTGCCTACAATGCCTGCCCCGCCCTGCTCTGCCCCGCCCTGGCCCCTTACCCCACAGCAACTTCTATTTCTGTGGCCAGCCACTGGCGTCATCAGCATCATCATCTTCATCATCATCATCAACGTTGGCGTCGGCGTCGGCATCTTCGTTCTTCTGCATGAATTTGTGTAAATCTTGAGCAGCAGCCAGTTGCCACAGTTGCCACAGTTGCGTCTGATTGCTGATTGTTGGGCTGCCCGCCCGCCTGTTGACTATTGCACGTAATTCGTGCCACAGCCGCCACTCGCCGTGGCAGCCTTTTTGTGGACAGAAAGCAGGCCAACTAATAAAGTTGATGCACTCTCATAATGAATACACAATTGAATGTGGTTATGCGACCTGACGAGAACTGAGCATCACATGATATATCTGACTGTGCTTTAAATATATATATATAAATATTTATGCATAGAAATATATCTATATATGAAGCATATAAGTATTTTTTACAAGTTGGTTGATTTACCATCTAAAGCTGACAAACAAAATCTGTCCAAGGAATAGGTCAGGAAACAAGTCTAACGAGTCGAATGATCTAGTCCTAGGCTTTGATACAACCATGTATTGAACCAGCCACTTTACTTTTCCTGGTTTGCAGCCAAATCAGCTTTGATTTAACTATGAATTGAAGCAACAATATATTCAGTTGTAATAATTTGGCTCGTATCGAACCATGAGTTGAACCAGCAACTTTTTTTTCTTGGTTAGCAACCGTCTGGAAAATTAACTTAAATTCAACTGCTTTTTTACTGGTTTCCAGATTTGAACTCTTTTTTTTTTAATGGCGCCTTTTAATAAAAACTAAGTGCGAGTGCATGCTAAGCGAGTTCATTAAATGACTTTAAACGCAGCACGGAGAATCCACAAGGTGAAGTGCTTTTGCCTTTCACAGGCTTGCTTAAGCGCAGGACAGT